CTTTTTCACACCAGAAGTCGATGGCCAGACATCTGGATTGAACGTATAGGGACTGTAGAGGATGGCACAGAGAGTGACACCACATAGAGTCGAGAGTTCCTTCACTTTCTTCAGAAAACATTTCTTTCTTTTTTTGAAAGGTAGCTTTCCTCGACGAGTTGTTTTCAATGAAAGCAAGCTTCACCTTCTTCCTCGTCATAAGGACTTTTAAAAAAAATAAAAGTTCTCTTTTTTTTGTCTGTTTGTTTGTTTGTTTTATGTTAGTTGGAACTAAATTTATGGATGAGTTGTGTTATATAGTAATGGAGAAGTACATAGATTTTTCTCCTTTATTATAGATATTTTTATTTTATTTATAGAGAGTAAAATAAAAATAAAATAATAATTATAACTAATAAAGTTATGAATCTATTTAATTAGTTTTTCTATATTAGTCACTTATATAAATAGGATGACATTAGTGAAAATTGTACATTAATGTTAAAAAAAAATATTTGTAGATATTTGGGATAATATCTAAGATTTGGTTTCGTAAATGGGTTAAAGTTTCTTTTTAATATATTTCTGAAATTTTTTTTTTTTTACTGGAAAGTTTGAATGTGAGTCATTTTGACTTGTAAAGTGACCACAAACTAAAGTATTATAAAGATTATTTTCTTAAGTTCAAAGTTAAAAAATTTAATGTTTTGAATTACATATTATATCTAGGTTAGAAACTTACAATAGCCATTTTAAAGAGTGATTTTTTTTCATAACTTAACATTATAGAAGTCTAAAGATATAAAAATAATTGATATTTTTTAAACTATAAAAATGTAGTTTAGAGAATGAAAGTTGAAAATAACTTAAAATCGGAATAGATGATAGAATATTTTGTTTCCAGCTTGTGTTGTAGTTGTCAGATTATAAGATCGCACTGGGTAATAAATCTGAGAATATATATATCTATATATATATTATACTTAAGTTAAAAATCTTATTTTTTAATAAAAAATTCCAGAAATAAATAAATTAACTTGATTTATCAAAAATCAATTGTTTTACTAAAGGTCTACATAATTAAAAAAACAACTAGTTATACATTTATTAAATCTATTGCATAGTTAAAATTTTTAATTTATTATTAATAAACTATTTTTTCGATACAAAATTTTATTATATATTTATTTTATTAAAAATATTTTAAAATTTTTACAATTTTTTAATTTTTTAAAAATAGTAGAAACATATTAGTATATCAATATTTGCAACAATTTCTCTTTTAATAATATTGAAAAATTAGTATGTGAAATAAATATTATTTTGTGGAAGATATAGTGGCATATCTAGAATTATGAACATTCTTTTATTTTAGGTTGATTATTCATTCAATTAATTGATAGAAACATGTATTTATGTATTGCTCATAGAAATACAATGTAACAAAATCTATTCAGATATAATTGTTTTTGGAAAAACATCATTTTGTTTTTACATTCAGTGAAAGATATATTGGCATATCTCTTTTAGTAGCAATATATACTGGTATATCTCTTTTAGTAACAATCATATTAGAATAGATTTTGTTACATTGTATATCATATTAGCAATACATAAATACATGTATCTATCAATTAATTGACCAAATGAAAAATCTATCTAAAATAATATAATGCTCGTAATTTCAGATATACCAGTATATCTTTCACTGAATATTTTTTTCATACTAATTTTTCAATATTATTAAAAATTCCATAAATAAATAAATTAATATGAATAATAACAAATCAGTTGTTTTAAAAGCTCTCTATATGATTTTGAAAAATACTTCTATATTTATCAAATTTATCAAATTTATTGCACAGTGATCTTTTTTTAAAAAAACAATAATCATTAATAAACTATTTTTATACAAAATTTAATAATATTAAAATCTTCATAATTTTTTTTAATTTTAGTTTATTAATTTATAAAAAATAATAGGAAAACATATTATTAGATCAAAATCTGCAACATTTTCTCTTTTAGTAGTACTGAAAAATTAGTAGGAAAAAAAATTCAGTGAAAGATATATACTTACATATCTGGAATTAGAAACATTCTATTTGATTCTTCATTTGGTTAATTGAATGATAAATACATGTATTTATGTATTGCTAATAAAAAATAAAATGTAACAAAATCTATTCAAATATAATTTGTATTGGAAAATAGTATTTTCTTTTTACAATGCAAACTATTGATTAAATCTTTATATATGTTTATATCGAAATAGGCTCGGTCTTGAAGTGAAGGGAATAAAATTATTATTTTGAACCTCAGACTTTTAATAACTTTGTGAACCCAATTATCTAATTAAGTTCTGGTTAAAATAGTGGTTTAGTGTATTAATTTTTGAGTTTGTGTCTGGTTTTTTGCTACAAAAATACTCATGTGTTACCTGTATTGATAAGAAATGCGTTTGGCTTGGTGCACTCCAAATTAAAATATATATGTCATTTTATGGTTTTCTACACATACAATATCAATATATATATATATATATGTTCCTTTTATAGTGTTCAATAAGAGTATTCAATCCCTAACAAACAACATGTATACCTTGATACACATCAAAATAAGCAAATGCATACCTTACTATGCTTTAGAATTTTTTTTTTTAATTTCGATTTATTTCATTCAACGGTTACTTATCATATTATATCTTAGATAATATTTTAGGAGTTTTGATATTACTTTCTTATAGATATGTTTTTAACCCTAAAGATTTATCAAGGTATTTTTGAGATTGAAGAAAGGACATAAAACAAAAGTTCCCTTATATATCATAGATTTAATGTGTTTATCAATTTCAATTTTTTTTGTTGTTGTAAGATTTTCAAACTAAATGATAAAACTTGATATTAATTTGTAATTATTTTTAGTATCCATAGATAGATAGATCACTAACATATTTAATAAGCCATTGTTCTTGTTTAAGTAGCCAATCTATGTACATATGATAATTATGGATATGCACATATACAAATTGAAGATACTTTTATATATGTGACAAAAAAACATTTCAATTTTATTGGTTATTATCATTATATATATGATATATATATATATATCTAAAATTCTGAATTGGTCATTCTCACAATCTTCATGGTTTTAATGAGTCAATATGGATCAATGCTTTAGTGCAACTCAAACACGATAAGAGTACGGTTCTGATCTAGTAGGCTTGACTAGCTTCAGTGTTGAATCATTGCAAGAGACCATTATGTAATTATAATATAGACTCAGTAACCACACATTTTATGAATGAGAATTTCTTCAGTAACCATATAGTTTATGAATGAAACTTAATTTTTAGGAAAATTTGGGTTTCTGTAAAAGCATAGATAAATTAGCTAGCATGTTTGGTTACAAAAATAAAATAAAAAGCTAGTATGTTATATTCTTTAAAAGTATATCAATCTGTAGACTTGTATATATTGATCTATAGAACTGTATATATTTTTCATCTATTTTCAGCATGTTATTTCATTATGAATATGGACTTCTGTAAAAGAAATATAATCAGTTATATAGACACCATGATACTTCATAATTTTTGATGTTAAAAGAAACATATGGACACAGTTTGCTAATGTTTTTTTATTTTATTAATTATTAATAAACATACTCAACACAAACAGATACATATATCTATATATAATTTGTACACATTGATATATTTTTGCGAAAATTAATTGTTTGCATCTGCGTCGCTAGAGAGTTGAGAAAGAATATGAATCTTGATTGACTTCATCCATCTAGAGAACTATAATACAGATATGAAATAAAAATTATATTATTTCCAGAACCAAGAGATAAGCAATCTCTTCTTACATCCAAAAATAAAGATATTAGCAGAGAATAAAATCAATGAACAATGAAAAAAATATCCAAAAATTTATATAATTCTCAGTTTTTTTACAAGACATTTTTTTGTTAAGAAAACTATGTTTCTACATATTTCATATAGATTTTTTCATGTTGGAATATAATTAATCAAAAACCAAAGAACAAAATGTCTCGTAAAGCAAACACCGAGGAACAAGTAACCATATAAAGAACACATCACTCTCCAATGATTCCAACATGCTTCCACTTCCAAGTTTCTCAATCTTAAATATCTTGTGGTACATGCTTCTCGATATATTCTCTAATGAAGCCATGCTAGTCCACCTGTAGCCAAATATGGTTGGAAACGACCATCCCTTGTAATGCTTTTCGCGATGTCCCAAGTGATCCTATTAGATTTTATATTTTTCATAATAAAGAAGATACTGTTAAACATAGATACTAGGAGCTAAATGTTTGCTGTTAAGGAGCTATTAAAATTAGAGTAAACCATAATCTATATTTCACATAGATTAAAAACATATTTTATATATACAAAAATCCATAAATTAGATAAATTACATACATTTAAATGGTGATTACCTGCCTTAAAAACATTCATAATAATTTTGGCTAACAGATAAATTAGACATTTGATTAGAAAATTCATTTTGAAATTTATGTAAAACTTAGTACCAAATTTGGTAGTACATTAGGTAGTCACCATTACCCTAGATTCTAATTCCAATATCTTATGTAAACTTAAAATAAATAAAAAGTAAAGTGCATTTTGCACTTTGGAATAATTTTTATTTACTTATCAGACTGTGAACGTCTATTCTCAAAACGCTAACAAAATCTTAGGTAAACTTAAATTAAAAAAAGTAAAGTGCATTTTGCACTTTATAATAATTTTTTTACTTATCAGACTGTGAACGTCTATTCTCAAAACGCTAACAAAATCATATATTATTAAATGAAAATGACACATATCACAAATACATAAAATAAAAAATTATAATCATTCAGATAATAAAATAAAACCACAACAATATTAAAAACAAGAACAAAAAAATTAATTGCAAAAGCAGTTGAAAATTATTATTATTTTTTTTTTGCTTATCAGAATGTGAACGTCTATTCTCAAAACCCTAATAGAACCATGTATTATTGGTAGGATTTTTACTGGTAACATGGATGATACTGCTTGAACTGACTGTGGTCAAAGCAGTAGAGGAATCACTGGCGATTAGCTGTTGTTGCTGTTGGTGGTAAAGATAGTGGTGCTGGTGCTGGTGGTGGTGGAAGGGGTTGTGGTGGTTGGGGTTGCGGCGGTTATACATATGCTCATAACTCATTTGGTCAGGATGGTTCATCATCTCCATAAAATGTTGATGTTGGATCTCATTATGAATTTGATTCAGGTTCATATTTTGAGTTTGCTCATAGAATCCAACATGTGGAGTGGCAGGATGACGAAATTGTTGATGTTGATGATGATGTTGCTGTTGCTGAATAGAGTTAAAAAAAGTCGCGGCAGCAGCAGATGAGGAGGAAGAATAAACCTCATGAATCGTAGCGGCTGGAGCAGTTGTTGCCGAAGCAATTGCCAAAGATCCAATGCCTTCAGAAGAATGAGCCATAGCTGCAGTGACAGCAGTATTAGAAGATTCACCCATCTCCATATTAGAACTCCCCAAAATCTCAATCTTGTGATTAATATCTCTTTGATATTGATCAATCACATAACCTAAGTCATTGAGATCCAAAATATTGAGATGAAACCTCCCCAGGCTTCTATCCCAACATTGGAACATGACTTCAATCATCTCTTGCTCTCTGTTATCCTTCCCCAGCCTCCTCAGATTCTCGGACAATTTGGTGATCCTCTGTCTGAGAAAGGTCTCTTGGTCCAGCATCTTTTTGTGTTGGTCCATCTCCGGCAATGTCTGGAAATCTAAAACTACCCTTTGCACACCAGAATTCGATGGCCAGACATCTGGATTGGACGTATTGGGACTGTAGAGGATGACACAGGCAGTGACACCATAGAGAGTCGAGAGTTCCTTCACTTTCTTCAGCAAACCTTTCTTTCTTTTTTGAAAGGGTGCTTTCCTCGACGAGTTATTTTCAATGAAAGCAAGCTTCACCTTCTTCCTCATCAAGTTTTTTTTTTTGTCTGTTCGTTTGTTTTGTGTTAGTTGTGAACTAAATTCATGGATGAGTTATGTTATATAGTAATGGAGAAGTACAAAGATTTGTCTCTTTTATTATAGATATTATTATTTTATTTATAGAGAGTAAAATAAAAATAAAATTATAACTAATAAAGTTATGATATCTATTTAATTAGTTTTTCTATCTTAGTCACTTATATAAACACTATGACATCAGTAAAAATTTTACATCAATGTTTAAAAAATATTTGTAGATATTTGAGATGATATCTAAGATTTGGTTTAGTAAATGGGTCAAAGTTTCTTTTTAATATATTTTGGAATTAGTTTTTTTTTACTGGAAACTTTGAATGTGATTTATTTTGACTTGTAAAGTGACCACAAACTAAAGCATTATAAAGATTATTCTCTTTAGTTCATAGTTAAAAAAATCTAATGTTTTGAATTTACATATTATATCTAGGTTAGAAACTTAAAATAACCATTTTAAAGAGTGATTTTTTCATAACTTAACATTATAGAAGTCTAAAGATATAAAAATACTTGATCTTTTTTAAACGATAAAAATATAGTTTAGGGAATGGAAGTTGAAAATAGCTTATAGAAAAAGATGAGAGAATATTTTGTGTCCAGCTTGTGTTGTAGTTGTCATATAAGATCGCATTAGGTAATACATCTGAGATATATTATACTTAAGTTAAAAATCTTATTTTTTTTAATCAGAAATTCCATAAATAAAGAAATTAATTTGATTAATCAAAAATCAATTTTTTACCAGTCTATATAATTTTGAAAAAAACAACCAGTTATACATTTATTAAATCTATTGCATAGTTAAATTAATTTTAATTTATATTAGTAAACTATTATTTCGATACAAAATTTTATCATATATTACTTCCAGTCATACATTTATTAAATCCTTTTAAATTTTTTTTTATTTTATAATTTTTATAGTTTTATTTATTACAAAAAATAGTAGAAACATATTACATGATCAATATCTGCAATATCTTTTTTAATAATTTTAAAAATTAGTGTGAAAAAAAATCATTTTGTGAAAGATATATTGGCATGTCTGGAATTATGAATATTCTATTATTTTAGGTTGAATATTCATTTGGTCAATTGATTAATAGATACATGTATTTATGTATTTTTTATAGAAATAAAATGTAAAAAAAAAATCTATTCAAATCTATTTGTTTTTGGAAAACAGCATTTTGTTTTTACATGCAGTGAAAGATATATTGGCATATCTGTTTTAGTAGTAATATATGATGGTATATGTCTTTTAGTAACAATCATATTTGAATAGATTTTGTTACATTATATTTCATATTATCAATACATAAATACATGTATCTATCAGTTAATTGACCGGATGAAGAATATACCTAATATAATATAATGCTTGTAACTTCAGATATCCCAGTTTATCTTTCACTGAATATTTTTTCCTACTAATTTTTTGATATTATTAAAAATATAAATAAAGTATTTAATTTGATAAATTAAAAATCAGTTGTTTTACCAACTTTCTATATAATTTTGAAAAATAGTTATATATTTATCAAATCTATTGCACAGTTATATTTAAAAAAAATATTTATCATTAATAAAAAATTTTCGATACAAAATTTAATAATATTAAAATTAATAGGAAAAACATATTACTGGATCAAAATCTGCAACATTTTCTCTTTTAGTAGTACTGAAAAGTTAGTAGGAAAAAACATTCAGTGAAAGATATACTGACATATCTGAAATTATAAATATTCTATTATTTTAGATCGATTCGTCAATTGAATGATAAATACATGTATTTATGTATTGCTAATAAAAAATACAATGTAATAAAATCTATTCAAATATAATTTTTTTTCTGGAAAATAGTATTTTCTTTTTACAATTCAAACTACTTATGAAATCTTTATATATGTTTATATCGAAATAGGCTCGGTCTTGACTTTCAGTCTTTTAAATAAATGTGTGAACCCAATTATCTAATTAAGATCTGGTTAAAATGTGGTATAGTGTGTTAATTTTTGAGTTTGTGTCTAGTTATTTGCTACAAAAATACTCATGTGTTACCTGTATTTATAAGAAATACGTTTGGCTTGGGAAATTCCAAATTAGAATATCTATGTCATTTTAGGGTTTTCTACGCATACAACATCAATTTTTATATAAATATTTCTTTTATAGTGTTCAATAAGAGTATTCAATCTCAAACAAACAACATGTATAACTTGATACACATTAAAATAAGCAAATGCATACCTTACTATGCTTTAGAATTTTTTTTATAAAACATTTCTATTTATTTCATTCAACGGTTATTTATCCTATTATATTTTAGATAATATTTTAGGGGTTTTGATAGTACTTTCTTATAGATATAATTTTAACCCTATAGATTTATCAAGATATTTTTGAGAATTGAAGAAAGGACATAAAACAGAAGTTCTATTATATATCATATATTTAATGTGTTTATCAATTTTGATTTTTTTGTGGTTGTAAGATTTTCAAACTAAACAATTAAAATTGATATTAATTCGTTAATTTTTTTAGTATCCATACATAAATAGATCACTAACATATTTTATAAGCCATTGTTCTTGTTTAAGTAGCCAATCTATGTACATATGATAATTATGGATATGCACATATACAAATTGAAGATACTTTATATATGTGACAAAAAAACTTTATCAATTTTATTGGTTATTATCATATATATATATATATATATATATATCTAAAATTCTGAATTGGTCATTCTCACAATCTTCATGGTTTTAATGAGTCAATATGGATCAATGCTTTAATGCAACTCAAACACGTCAAGAGTACGGTTCTGATCTAGCAGGCCTGACTAGCTTCAGTGTTGAATCATTGCAAGAGACCATTATGTAATTATAATATAGACTCAGTAACCACACATTTTATGAATGATACTTTATTCAGTAACCATATATTTTATGAATGAGACTTAATTTTTAGGAAAATTTGGGTTTCTGTAAAAGCATAGATAAATTAGCTAGCATGTTTGGTTAAAAAAATAAAATAAAAAAGCTAGTATGTTATATTCTTTAAAAGTATATCAATCTGTAGACTTTTATTTATTGATCTATAGAACTGTATATATTTTTCATCTATTTTCAGCATCTTATTTCATTATGAATATGGACTTCTGTAAAAGAAATATAATCAGTTATATAGACACCATGATACTTCATAATTTATGATGTTAAAAGAAACATATGGACACAGTTTGCTAATATTTTTTTATTAATTCTTAATAAACATACTCAACACAAACATATACATATATCTGTATATAATTTGTACACATTGATATATTTTCGTAAACATTAATTGCTTGCGTCTGCGCCGCTAGAGAGTTGAGAAAGACTATGAATCTTGATTTACTTCATCCATCTAGAGAACTATAATACAAATATGAAGCAACAAAATTCATAAAAATTATATTATTTCTAGAACCAAGAGATAAACAATCTCTTCTTACATCCAAAAATAAAGATATTAGCAGAGAATAAAATCGATGAACAATGAAAAAAAAATATCCAAAAAAAATTATATAATTCTCAGTTTTTCTTACAAAACATTTTTTGTTAAGAAAACTATGTTTCAACATACTCATATAGATTTTTTTCATGTTAGAATATAATTAATCAAAAACTAAAGAACAAAAAGTCTCGTAAAGCAAACACAGAGGAACAAGCAACCATATAAAGAAAGCATCACTCTTCAATGATTCCAACATGCTTCCACTCGTAATGCTTTTCACGATGTCCCAAGTGATCCTATTAGATTTTAGAGTTTTCATAATAAAGAAGATACAGTTAAACACATATACTAGGATCTAAATGTTTGCTGTTAAGGAGCTATTAAAAATAGAGTAAACCCTAATTTATATTTCACATAGATTAAAAAATATTTTTTATCTACAAAAATCCATATATTCTATAAATTACAACATTTAAATGGTGATCATCTGCCTTAAAAACATTCATAATATTTTGCCTAACAGATAAATTAGACATTTGATTAGAAAATTTATTTTGAAATTTATGTAAAACTTAGTACCAAATTTGGTAATATATTAGGTAGTCACCAGTACCCTAGATTCTAACTTCAATATCTTAGGTAAACTTAAACTAAAAAAAATGCACTTTAGAGTCATTTTTTTTACTTATCAGACTGTGAACGCATATTCTCAAAACGCTACGAAATCATATATTATTAAATGAAAATGACACATATCACAAATTTATAAAATAAAAAATCATAATTATTCAGATAATAAATTAAATCACAATAATATTAAAAAAAACAGCAACAAAAAATCAATCGCAAAAGCACTTGAATTTTTTTTCTTGCTTATCAGAATGTGAACTATCATTCTCGAAACCCTAATGGAACCATGTATTATAGGTAGGATTTGGACTGGTAACATGGATTATACTGTTTGAGCTGACTGTGGTCAGAGCAGTAGAGGAATCATTGGGGATTTTCTGTTGTTGCTGTTGGTGGTGAATGTAGTGGTGGAGCTCGTGCTGGTGGTGGTGGAAGGGGTTGTGATGGTTAGGGTTTGGGCGGTTATCCATATGCTCATAACTCTTTTGGTCAGGATGGTTCATCATCTCACACCTGGTGAACTGACGACCATCTCTACCCTTACCTCATCAGATTTTGCACCAGAACTATGAGAATAATCGATTAAACATCCTGCTTAATCGATTAGAAGCAAAGCTGAATCAGTTCCTTGCTTCCCAAGCCTTCGTTGAAGCTGCCCTGCGAACAAGGATAGATGCTGTCACCATCGACCTTAACAAGAGGTTTGATGACCTCTCTAAGCACGTGAAGACAATGGACCAAAAGCAATGAAGTGCTGAATCAGAGAATGGAATCTGTCGAAGAAGAGCAATGGAAGAACAAGATCAACATTCGACAAA